AAAAAACGGAAAACATTCATCTTGCGAAGCAGGGCCATAGGAAGATTTGTCTAGCAAGTCATCAACCCCATTGCCAAAACCATTTGTCTTGAGAGTTTTTTGTCCTGTGAGGCATTTGTCTTGCGAGGCACTACTGTATTGTTATTTTTACTTTATTTAGATTTATACCCCGCTCCTCTAGACAAAGTCTACTTGGTGCGGCTCTTATACACTTCATATGAAATCTGCATATAAAACTATAAGCTTTGGTTCATATTATAAAATATTTTTAAAATTAAGGAAAGGAAGATATACGCATCCTTTATTCTAAGCAAGTTTGGGGGGGGGGAGAGTTTGTGGTTACGTACCTACAGTGAGTCCATATTCAAAGCCTCTAGTACATGAGCTCCCAATCAGGGGGTTGTGAAGTGTTTTCTGGGGGTGGTTTGCCATAGTTATGTTTAGTTGCAGTTATTTTTCTATTGTATTAAATATAGTATACCCAGTGCTGTTTATTTTAATCCTCTCGGCCCACAGATAGATAATTTTCATCTGAACTGGAATTGCAGGCAACCTAGAGGTCTTAGTTATATTTGTACTCCTTTGGGTGGATTTTCTTTTTATACATGTGCATCACTCCTGCCTCTCCAGAAGACCTATTCTTGTTCGTTTCTCTCTGCTCCTCTGCATCCACCTTTGGAAGACTGATGCCAGCCTTTTGCATCTGAGTGTTAGCCAGGCTCAAAATGGCCTGAATGAGGCAAATGTACACTGTACACCAGGAATGCTGACACCCAAGATCAGCGGTCCCCAACCTTTTTCGGTCCGCGGACCAGCTGGGGAAGGTGTATGTGTGTTCATGTGCATGTGCAAATGCCGGCTCAGCGCTTATCTGGGGGCGCGTGCTTGTGTACATGTGCAAACAGCAGTGTTGCGCTTGCACGAGCATGCTGGAGCATGTGCGCAGCTGCAAACAGGCTGTGCGGGGGTGAGTGCATGAGGGGGGGCGGGAGTTATGTCTTGGCAGCCTGGCCCGGCTCAGGCCGTGGATCGGCACAGGGCTGTGGACCGGGGGTTGGGGACCTCTGCCAAAGATGACAGCTGGATTATAAAGGTGTTGCTGCTGCAACAGTGGTGCCTCTCGCTCCACCTGAGTCTCCAGCTCTTCAGGGTGTGATGATGGTGGCACAATGGTTTAGGCATCTGGCTGTTCTGCCAGAGGTTGGGAATTCAGTTCTCTGCTGCTTCCTTGACCGAAGCTGGATTTCATGATCCATAAGGTCCCTTCTAGCTCTGCAGTTCTAAGATGATGGTGGTGATGATGTGCATGTCATAGGTTTATCATCCCTGTTCTAGAAGGAACTGGCACTCAAAATCCATTTGTGCTCATTTCAAGGTGGGTTTGGTTTAAATCACAATTGGTTGAAATTCAGTTTTGAAATGATTTTTTAATTTAAATCAAATTGATTAAAAAAACACAATGTTTTTTATCCACCCTGGCTGGCTTTCATGGATAGACTGTAAAACATTCAGAAGATTGTTCCATGTTAAAAATTTGAAACTTCAGATGTATGATGGGTGAAAAGAAATAGTAAATAGTTTTTTGCCAGCTCCTGCCCTTTAGTGGCTACTTCTGTCCAATATCTGAGTGGCTGTAGCTGAATAGGTTGGAATCAGGCAGCAATTATTATTTATATATTCAGAATTCTTCTTTACTGTATTTGATGGCAAAGCCACAAATGCCACATATCAATCCCCAACAATCCACTAAGGGTTGCACAACATTCCTTGTCTGCCTTTGTTTGGTCGTTTAGGGAAAATAACTGCCACAGTTGTTTAGGCAAATGAATGTTGAAAAGTCAGGAAGACTCAAGAATGTGAATACATTAGGTTAATAACATCTCAATATTGATACCTATGCTAAAGATTGTTATGAATAACATGCTATATAGGAACCATCATTCCAGTCACAATCAAAAAACTTGGTTTGTAGTGTGCGAGAGTTGTATATAGATATATGTAAAAATACTATTTCCTTTTCAAACAGTTCTACATTAACTCTTGACTGATATATGTATTTTTTTAAAATCAGTTAATGTGATTTTTTCCTGGTAAATAATATATAATTTGTAAAGAATTGAAAAACAGAAAGGTGTCATTGCTAATTTTTGAGAATGAAATTATGATTTTCTTTGCAAATGGCCTTTTGACTTGGAAATATCTTTATGTATAAAATTTAGTGTGAAATGCAACACTGAAATCTTTGACACAGGAAATCCATCTCTTCATATGGCTGTTGCTTTTGCGCTAGTGTTGTTCAACAGCAGAGTTGATGATAAAACTGAATAGAGGAATTTAACAAAGACAACCATGTTAATTTTTTTAAAAACCTAGAGTAAAATGTCATTTGGTAAGTATGGTATAGAATGAGAATATCAGTGGAGAAAAGAATAATCTTTGTTAGTCCCTAGGAGGAGTGCTAGAAAAAAGTAGGATCTTGTCTTTCAAGGTCTTTATACTGTATTTGTTGCATGTACATATGGTTTTCTTTGATTCCTTAGTGATTAAACATAATGTTATTTCTTCATTACTCTGTGGCCTTCTACTGTATGTTGGGTTTTCTTGGGCTGAGTAACCATTCTGTCAGGTCTTTAAAATAATTTTTGAATATATTCATTTCTTACTTGGCTTTTGTGTTGATGAGAGTATTGCATGTAAGCTTTTCTGCTGTTGCTATGCAACTGTTAAGTCTAATATTTAATATTAATATAAAAAAACCAAGTGGCATTATCATTGGTTAGAACATTGAAGCTGGAAGAATTGTGCTGTTCAGGCTATGTAAAACACTTGGCAGACATTGTGAATTCTCTGTTGCCCATGTGACATATTCTGTGCAAAACAAATTATTAGTATATTCGCGAAGGCTTTCATGGCCGGGATCTGTGGCTGGCATCTTCAGAGGACTGGCGAAACGTTAGGAAGAACAACCTTCAGAGCACAGCCAAAGAGCCCCCAAAACCCACAACAACCAAATTATTAGTAGTTTTTATTACAGGCATTCTTAAAGGTTTGGGTTTTTAAAAAAAAGTGCTCAAAAGCTAAAATTCTCAAAAGTCAGTGCCCACATTTAACATCCATATATTACATGCAAAAGCTGCAGCAGAGCCTTGGTACTTTATGAAAAGTAAATCTTAAATGAAAGGAAGCCGTGGAAGCCGTTGGGAAGAGAATTGATAAGTGGAAGGTACTTAACACTTTCCCTCCTTGCTGTTTCTCCACATTGTTCCTCTTGAAGTGACATAAGCAACAGCAGCAACAATTATAACATGCAGTGTTGTACAAATTAGTGTGTAATATCCAGGCAATCAGGTCTTTGGAATTTTTTCAGCAGCATAGTAAAATGAAGTTTTAAAAACGTGTAAGGACTGGTAGGATCTTTTTAAAAAGTTAGACAACATATCTTATGGTTTTGGTGCTGCAGAACGTAAAATTTCTCTTAAAACTGCATGCATCCCAAAGTACTTGGGTTTACCCTATTTGCTTATCCAGCTGGCGGGATACCTCAGTGGTTTAGATATCTGGCTGCGGAGCCAGAGATTGGGAGTTTGAATCTCCACTGTGCCTCTCCTTTGGGTAGAGCCAGCCTGTGTTGCCAGGGGCAAGATGCACAATCCCTGTACACCTACAAAATAAGGGAATGGTAAACCAGTTCTGAGTATTCTCTACATGGAAAACCTTGAAAAGGTTCAACCATGAATTGACTTGAATGGACATGATTATTATTTGCTAATATTTCGGTAGCCACATTGAGTTTACCTTTTTCTCTCTTATTTTTCTTCTTCTAGTTGTCTTTCTTTTTAATATTTTTCTCCTGTACTTTGCTGGTTTTGTAATTAGGTAGTGTGAGCTAATAATGGATGTAAATACGATTCAGTTGTTAGATTTCCAGTTCAGTTCCACTTTTAATTTTATTTTTAAAAAGAACAGTACAGTATGTTTAAATGAAAATAGTTTTTTCTGAATCTTGGATTTCAAAGAAAGTGATCATAGTAGTTTAACAATTACAATATTGTTTTTGCTTATACTCAACAATTTAGAGTATGACTTTTCGGATATGTGTTGGAATGTAGCAAGGGAATTGTACAGCATCCAAGCAAAAATGTTTATGAACTGTTTACATTAAAGAGCTTGAGAAATAACTGCTCCTTTTTATAACTGCTCATTTTTATATCCGTTAAAATGTTTTTCTTCTTTCTTGTGTTTTAAAAATTGTACAGAAAGAGCTAAATATTGTATCTGCTTTGTATTTTAGAATTATTTTCAAGACGTAGAAAGTATACATGCACAACACTGTTTAATATAACTGCAGATTTTTTGGAGAACTCCAAAATACATTCCTTATTTTTAGTTTAACATTTCTGTCCTAAAATTGTCCCGTTATTTTCCTTATACTGTATGTAGAATAATAGTAACTAATTCTGCCATATCTTTAGCTGCAAGATATAGTTTACATTAACATTGAATTTACATTTACAAATAGGGAAAAGAACTAGAAGAGTCTTTCCTTTTAAGAAGAGGTTCCTTATATTCTTTAAAAGTCTATACCCCTGTATAATATTTTTTTCAGGGTTAACAAAAAGCGTGCATATTTGGTACTTAGTTTGTCCTTTTGTGTTCTTTTTTTCTCAGAAATGCTGAGGATTGAAGGTGGACTGTACATGGAAATAGGGAGAAAAATAATTTGTGACTTTCTTAGAAAACAGATTTTGAATTAGTTTGGAACAAAGCTTTCCATTTTAAAGCTGCATTTGACTTAATTACTGGTACGGTTGAACTCTTAAAATATTATAATTAAAGGTTGTTTTTTCAGTTTAGTTGTCATGTTTTACCAGGAGATCTCAGATACATTGTAAAACATGTTTGGATTTGTTCTAGGAACAGGAAGAATAAAGGACTATTGACGATACTGTGGCAGCAACATGTTTAATTAAGAAAACTGACCATTTTTTCTTTGTTTTTAGGATTTGAAAGTATTCTAGAAGGGCTGTTTGGACCTGAATTATTAAAAGATCTGAGTTTATTTAAAGGTATTACATCTTCCTCTTTTTGCCTTGATCTGCATTTCTAATGACAGAATCAACCTCTGCCTCTAGAAAATGTGTGTTACCTTGGTGATTTGTGCTTTTTCCCCTCCCCCCGGCAGTGCTCACAGTTAGTTTCATATTGGCTAAAATTACTAATGAGTATAACTGGCGGTGGTTTTGGTGTTGCTTAGGAAAATCGGCTTTGTGTGTAGGCGAAGATTATACTTTTATAATATTGTGGAAATTAAAAGGATGGCAATTCAAGCTTACATTTCCTAAATAGCAGTAACTGTTTTATAAAGCAGTTAATGAGTTAGGAATGAGCTTTAACCATAAGCAAGTAATGATCTTTATAGGTGTGAAGTAATTTGTTGTTCTTATTCACAGACTTTGAGCCTGAAGGTGTCTCTGATTGGTCTTTCGATGAAAATTGTCTTTTCTGCTGTTTGAGAAGAGAGAAAGTAAAGGTAACACGTTTGGCAAGGATTTGGATTTTTTCCGGGTTTTAAATTTGGTGAATGAGAAATAATAATAGGAGGAATTTATAGTGAGAAGGGACTTTTAAATGGTCTGCTTTAATGCAAAATGCTTTCATTAATTTATAATTATTTTAGAAGTGGTTAGCGTTCCCTTCCTCTGTGGCTGCCCTATGCCCAAGGCTACACAGGCTGGAACTTCTCCTGGGATGCACAGTGCGGAATCAAATATTTGTTTGTTTGTTTGTCTGTCTGTCACCTTTCTCCCCATAGGGGACACAAGTAATTAACAAAATACCATATAAATATGACATTAAAAACAATTAAATATATATCAATATTTTAAAAAAGATTAAAAACACTTTAAAAACATTTAATCATCTCTAAGTTTAATAAACAAATGCAGCATTCCTGAGACACTTATTACTTAAAAGTCTGCCTGATGATAGAAGGACAAGAGAGACGGGCCAACCTTGCTTCTCATGGCAACCCATTCCAAAGCCTGGAGCAACTACTGAGAATGCCCTCTCTCATGTCCTCACCGAACAAGCTGGGGAAGGAACCCAAGAGAAGGGCATCTCCAGAAGATCTTAAATGCCTACCTAGTAGGCTCAAACTGGATGATATTTCTTCAAATAGTCTGGCTTTATAGGTAATAAACTTTGAATTTGGTTCAGAAAGAGATGCAGCCAGAGAAGCTGTTGAAATAAGGGAGTTACATACTTCTTGCAACCAGTGTCAGTCAGTGGTCTGGCTGCAGCATTTTGAACCAGGTGAAATTTCTGGACAATCTTCAAAGACAGCCCCATTTAAAATGGGTGTTGTAGTAATTCAGATTGAATATAACTAAGGTATGTTCAGTCATGGCCAGATCGAACATCTTAAGTAACTGATGCAGCTCCAGCGTATTGAGCTATCCAGCCAGCTAAATTCCTTTTAGTGCTTAGTAACTGAGATTCTGTGTCAAGAACTATGCAGACACATGATGCAACTATCTGCAATCATCAGATCAATTTTTACCACATTGAAGAGGGAACTCCACTTTGTAGAAATCTTACGCGCTGTGGCAATCCCTTTGCCATACTGCTTATGAGATTGTGTCATTGGCAAAAGGGGAAATGATATCTGCTGGCCTTGTGCTTTTGATCTATGCATGGTAGCCAAGAACCAATAGCAGCAGTATTTAGTTGTTCACCTGTCAACTGTTTTGGTTCTCTGTGGATACATAATGCAACAGCTGTCTAAGATAGACTTAGTAAGTGCTCTTCCCCCCCCCCCCAAATTTATCTTTAAATAACTCCTGGACCTCACTCAAACTCATGAGGTATTGCAGTGGTTTTCATGTCCAGTGTTTACTAGAGTGATACTTGCATTGCTTTTCTGTTGATATTTATACCTCACCACTATCCAATTTTTTAAAAAGTCTTTATTAAGAGTGAGCTGTGAATTAGAAAGATTACAAAGTAATTTCTAGACAACTTTAAAAAGAGCAATTTTCCAATTTTAACATTAGAAATAATGCTGCACTTGTGTTATGACATTCAAGCTCTACCAACCTAATTTTTTCTGTGTTCACTGAATCTGTGTGTTTTACATCTGTTTAGAGATTTCCTAATCTTTTCTGGGTGGTAATGGTGCGGCTAAAATATTGTAAATAAATAAATAAACACGTGCATTGAATCTTTTGGAGAGTGGGGTTAGTTTTGGATCTTAATTGTTCACATACTAGGTCATAATGGAAGTGTTTAGGAATTTGTCTCTTTGCTGAGTTCTAAAGTTGAAATTTCTTATGTGCAAAAGAATGCAGAGAAATGAAACTGATGCTGAATTGGTTACATGTGAAATATTAGTATCTAGAAAATTGCCTGTCTAAGTTATAATTGCAAGAAATTACATATTCCTTCAAGCTTTGTGAATGGTATTTTCTCTCTGATGATGGAGGCACAGTAGGATGTTACACTGGGATAAGAGCAGTAATCAGTAGAATTTTTGAAAATGTGTTATTAGAAAAAGCACTTGGAAGCATGAAATGTCCCTATAGGAAAGTGAATGGGGGGGTTGATTAAAGCTTAATATGTATGAAAAAAAGTTATGAGGAGCTCCATAGATAGATTTACATTCTGACATGTGGAAAAATATTTCTTGGAAGTGGCTATTTTAAATGTGATTTCTGACTGTTTAAAAATACCCTGATGGTTTCTCATCCCATGTTAATGCCAGGTGAGATGTTGATTCACTCTTTTTGTCAGATACAAAAATATTAAAATTCTTAAAATTGCTTTTGCCATATCATTTTATTATCTGTATTGATTCTGAAAACCGTGTTACTGTGTTACTCTGCAAAATGTGATGGGATCTCTGTGAACGTTTGTGTAGTTCTGCCCAGATCCAGTGCAGGATGATACAGTGGATGCTGTGCAGACACTTGATTGCTGCCTGGAATTTGTCTTGGAATGGACTAAGGCAAACAGGCTCAAACTGAACCCAGACAAGATGGAGATTTTGTTCCTGGGGGGCTCCTCACTAACTGGATGGTATTGTGCTTCTGGTTAGGGAGCAAGTTTGTAATCTGGGTGTGCTTCTGGGCCAGCTCTGTCCTGGGATACCCAGATTGCAGCTGTGTCTAGAGCCACCTTTATCCAGCGGAGGCATATCACACAACTCCTCTCCTACCTAGACAAGGACTAAGAACCTTGGTGCATGCACTGGTCATGTCCCAGATCAACAATTGCAATGGTCTGTGTATGGGGCTTCCCTTGAGCCTGATCCAGAGACTGGAGTGGTACAGAATGCAGCAGCTAGACTTGTATGGCAAATTTGATCACATCTCCCGAGCACTGGCTTGCCTGCACTGGTTACCTGTTGCATCCTGGATCAGATTCAAGATCTTGATGCTCACCTACCTGTTTGGGAACAGGTTACCTGTTGGAACATCTTTGCACAAGGTAATCTACCCACTCCATGACATCCTCCGAGGCTATGTGTCTCCAGCTAGCCACTTGAAGGGAGGCCAGGAAATTATCCACCAGAAGTACACATTGTTTGTGGCACCAATGCTCTGTAGAATCATGCCTCAGTCCCTCGCTCCTTACATTTAAAAGACACTTTAAAACATTATTCTATAGAGAGGTCTTTTTGGCAACCTTGCCTGAGGTTTTTTTTTCTCCATTTGTTTCTCCTGTTTGATAGTTGTTTATTTTGCCTCACATTCCATATTTCACTTTTATAATTTATACCTCTTGAAGTTTGTTGTTTATTACTTGCTCATTTAATATATTATTATTACTTGCTTTAACCTCTGTAAACCACTCTGAATAATGCATGCATTAATGGGGCGCTATACAACTCTAATAAGTAAATAAATATTTATACATCTATACAGGGTCCAAAACCCGAGACAGTATTTGGACACAAGTTGTTGACCTGTTATTTGTTAGCACAGACTAACATGGTTATCCCTTCTAAAACTAGTCTTGCAGATCAGTGACAACATTAAGATTCTAACAGATAATTATCCGCGTTGCTAATTATTCTGCTATCCAGTACAGTATTGCATTGTATTGTTTTGGCACCTTATTATAGTTCTGATTTTTGAGCATTATGCTTGGACTATTCTGAAATGAGTGGCTATACTGATACTGTGTGGTTGTGCATCCTCTGTATATTCCCTTATTTCCATGGTGATAATTGTATTAAAGTAATGTATTATCATTTATAAAATTCTGTTTGGGTCACTGTGAACTCAGAAGATACTCTACAACAGTGGTTCTTAATCTTTGTTACTCAGATGCTTTTGAACTGCAACTCCCAGAAACCCCAGTCAGGACAGCTGGTGGTGAAGGCTTCTGGGAGTTGCAGTCCAAAACTCCTGAGTAACCCAAGGTTAAGAACCAGTGTTCTACAAGATGTCAAATAAGATCTTAAAGTCTGGGGTGGTCCTTTTGATAACCTGGACCAAACCATGGAGGACGTCATGAATAAGGAGGAGCACTTTCAGTTATATCTGGAAACAGCTTAACTGCCAGGTGCAATTGATGCAAGACTGATGTGAGGTCAGCAAAATGTATGCCAGAAAGCCAACTGATTGTCATATTCTGGACTACCTGCAGCTGCTGAACAGTGGTCAAGGGCATCCCCACATAAAGTACATAGGATTAATTTAAATGGTATCTATTTAATGCTTGTGTCACTGTGATCAGATCTGATCCTTCAAAAGCTGAAGGATAAATAACTTTACTAGCCTTTAGACTCCCACAGAGATCTCATCAAATGAGAAACTTTACTGATAAATTTTATAAAAAGCTCAAAACACATTGGCTTAAAAGAACATAGCAATTTTTTGACATTTTGATATATGTTCTCTCTCCCCTCCCCCCTTGGCTTGTTCTGGCTAATGCCTCCCTGTTCTGGCTTGTCTCCCCAGATAAACTCATCTGGCAGCTACATTATGTTATTTTCTGTATGAAGTGAAGACCTCAGCACTCCTCTGTTTTGTTTCTGATTTCATTTTATTTTTCTTATGTTTAGTTCTAGTTATTGTTTCATTGTATCATATACTGCTCAGAGAACTGTAATTTTTGTGTGACTTGAAACTAAAATCATTCAGAATTAAAATCTTTTTCCTGCTGAGCAGGAAGATAAAAAGAGCTTTGTTCAGTGACATGTCTTATGAACGTCCAGTATAAATCTTTCATTTGGAATCATTGGGAGCTCACAAATGAGGAAACTGCAGCAGCAGTCATCACAGAAAGTTTTTTCTTTGAAAACGGAGGAGTTGAAGACAGTTCTACATTGTCTATGATACTCAGTTATTTCACTCAGCCTCTCACTCAGAAAAATTAAGTTTCTCATCTTTTCTAGGTTTCTGCACCATGCTGCTCCTGCTTTGTCAGAGAATATGTTGTGAGTCTGTTTCCTTGAGAGAGAGGAAGTAGTCAGTTTCTGGTTCAGCTAAGCATGGTCAATTTCTGTTTTTTTTTTTTTTTAAATGTAGTGATTGGCCCTGAATGTCTTTCCTTACAGCCATCTGTGTTCCTCTCTACTCACAGACATGTTGCTATATATTTTACAATGGTACCTGAGTCGTTCAGCATTTCCCATTATGGTGGCCTCCATCGCTTGAGCCTGGGCTATACTTCTGATCTATAGAAGAATGGAACTTGCACACAGCTTTCCTCCCTTGCACAAGTGTAGATTGTCTGTGCAATGGACTGGAAAAAGTATCAACATAAGAGAAGTGTCTGTTGATGAATGCACCTTCCAACACTAGGAAATCAGTATATTCGTGAAGGCTTTCACGGCCTGGATCTAATGGTTGTTGTGGGTTTTTCGGGCTCTTTGGCCATGTTCTGAAGGTTGTTCTTCCTAACCAAAAAGTGTGCTTATTGATTCCAGTTATAACTGAATTAGGTGCATTAAATACCATTATAGAATTAAAAAACTAAGTTAGTGCAGTTTCTGTGACCTCTGGGTACAGGTGTAACCGCAAGGTTAGAGATGGTGGTTGTATATAGTAGCTTGTTTCAGAGATACATTTAATTTGTCTCAAACACCAATGTCCGTAGCCAATCTTTTCCAGCTTGACATTCAAGAATAAATGTTTTGAAATGGGGAATACTGAAAAGGTAGGCTGGCCTTTAAATCTCCAAGATATGGCAGGCCATTTTGTGCCCTGAAAGATAGCCAGCGGAGCAAGATTCTGGGACTCTGGTAGAGACTTAACCTTATTCTGTGAATCACAGTTGTAGATGGTAGACTCAGTAGTAGACACCATCACCTTGGCTAGTTTGAGTACCCTGTTCTACTAGCCATACAAGTAACAAGAGGACAAGTTTTTCCCTTAGGAGTGCCTAGCTTTGATCCATGGTGTATCCAGTTATGGACTCCCAGGGAAGAAGCTCCTGTCAAATTGTTGTGGAATTTAGCATGATTTATTGACACTACCAAATATTTGTTATGGCTTGCTAGAAGCTCATAATTCAAGGGCTTCTCTTAGCCTTTGCTGGTAAATTTAAAATAGAGGTGAGGGACCGGCCAGACTACTGGCCACAGTAGTCTGGCCAGTCCCTCACCTCTATTTTAAATCTATGCTAAATCTTTATTGGGAGGATATTGAATCTCATCCTGGTAGAATTTTGGAGTATTACGTTAGTAGCTCAGCTGTACTGCCTTCTATGAACACTGTTATAAAATGTGATTCAGACAAACTGTGTGAGGAGGGCGTTTTAAACCAGGAGAATTGGTTATTGAAACAACTAATGTATTAATTCGATTCACTGCTGAAAATCTTGTTGCTTAGTGTTATAGATCATACTAGAGGAAACCCATTGAATCAATGAAGATTTAATGAATCAGCTTCTCCATAAGTTCTATTGGTTCAAATGGGCCTACTCTAATTGCAGTTTACTGTGCGGAAGTAAGTAGCAGTTAAATTAGATCTATTTGAATCAGTTGAGCTTAGAGAAGAGTTGACTCAGCAGATCCTCATTGATTTAGTGGGCCTGCTCTGGTGCAATTTTCTGTGCTACACAGAAGGAACTGCTACTACTTTTTAGCGACTTCAGCTCTGTCTGGTACCTTGTGGGGACCTATTCTTACTTTATTGTTATGTGCTACCAAGTCAGATAACTAACTTATAACAACCCTAATAGGCTTTTCAAGGTAAGTGAAGTATTGAAAGAGTGATTTTACCAGTTCCACTCCCCCAGTGACTTTCCATGGCAGAGCTGGAGAATCAAACTCAGGCTAGCCACTACATCACCCTTGGGTACTCTATCCTTGCTTTAGGGAGCATTAAATAAGTGATAGGCAAAAAAATGTGCTAATAGCTATACCCAGTATATTGCAACTGGAATAAAGGGATCTTGTGTCTTCATCCAGTTAGGGTGGAGTAGTTGGTGTGCCTCCATCTGCCCCTCTTTGCCTAAATCACTATGGAGTCCCTCCTTCTCTGTTCATTTGTCACTGCATCATGTCCTTTTGTATTCCTATGAGAAAGGATACAGTTCATAGCTCAGAAGTGCCCACAAATAGCCAAGATCCTTGCTTTTTGTGCTTAGGATTTTTTAAACTAGAAAAACTCTTTGTACTCTTTTTCTGTTATAAAAGATACTTTGATGGCTTCAGCCTTACACTGTATTTTTTCCACCTTTTCTAGTTGTAATAATCTTTGGGAGTTAAGTTATATTGTTGTGTACGTTTGATCATCTAGCCTTTTTTATTGTTCTGTTGAATGAAGATTAACAGACTAGATATTAATGGGGGAAGGAGAAATGCTTGTTTTGACTGATTATGGCCATACTACTTTAAGAATCAGATTTGCTGTTTGGTAGTACCTATTGAATCAGCTTTCCTCTTGGAAAACTAGATTGCAACCAGAACCAGTAATGCTTTCTTGCAAGCTACATGTGGGGAATGGGGGATTACAACTGGTCCATATACTGTATTAGCGATTTCACATATAGGTTGCTGCAGTGTGTTTGACACAGAGCTTCGCTTAGAGGGCCAGCTCAAATGTAAGCTCCCAATATCTTAAATACACACAAAACTATTAACATACTGAATCCAATTGAGAAATTCACCTAATTTATATTTGTCATTGGTTTGACAAATAAGTTCAGCCTTGATAGAAAATACTTACCCACCTGTGGTGCTATGTGAATTGACCCCAGTTTTCATCTGTTGAACTCTTTGCTTTAGATACTTTGTGACCTTTAAAACAGATTATGACCAGTGGTATTTGAAACAGTTTGACAGAAGTTTTTTAGGTTAATTTGGAAGATTTTAGAGGTGAATGAAAGAGGAGAAAAATCAAGTTTTTAGAGGGCAGAAATTTACAGAGATCAGAGTAGGCTTACCAGTAAAAGCAGTGGCTCCATTTCTTTTTTCTTTTTTTTAAGTTATTATACTGTACCTGGACATAATCTAGTGTGAAACTGTTCTAGTTCGAAAGCAAGGATAAGCAGCCAAGCATGTTGCCTTACAATGCTTCATCTAAATTACACTTTGTTCATATTCTTGATGAATTTGAAGTAAAAAATGCTATATTTCTTGGATAATAAATGTTACTGGGTGCGTTTGTTTAGAATAAGGAGAAAATTGTTCCTTTTTATTGTTTTGTTTCTAGTATTTTAATTTTGATAGATTTAATATTTTAGTTTAAAAATAATTCAATTGAGTGTAGTGGAATCCAGCCCTCCATATAAGACATTGAGACATGATTGGTTTCTGTGCAATAATGTATTCTTTATTATCAGAATAGTCCTATTAAATTCTTAATTACGTGAACAGTTTTATTAAATTCTGGATGGTGGTGAAGAAAATGTTATTTATATATTTATGTTTCTGATAAATGTTTTTACAGGAACACTTAGTCAGTCTGGATGAGCCAGCTTTGGAAGTTGGGCACCAAGTTCTACATAGACAAGAGCAAACAAAGATCATTCGGTTTGAGAGGCAAGCGGAAGAATTCCTCCATGCAGTCTTTTATCAGAAAGGTTGGTCGTGATGACATCGTTAAAGTGGTATACTGGGCATATTGGTCTTTATGAATGGCATTTCCTTTGAGATAACTGTATATTGTATATTGCTTCTGCATAGCTCTTCATTTCAGCCTCCACATTTTTTTTAAAAAAAAATAAAGGATAGCGGCTGGATCTTTTACACACATCTGTATGAATTACTAGGATGTGCAAACTGTTATTGGTCACCATTGCACTGAATACATTTATTAAATGCATGTTGTAAAGCAATCTTTTAACATGCCTGTAAGGGTATGTTAAAAGATCATCTAGCTATGCCTTCTGTTTAGAAGAGTATTCAGTACACTTAGTGTAAGATTCCTTTAAAACTGATATTGTTCAGTCAGAAATAAAGGTTGTCTTTCCTTAGAGTGCAGATGGAGCTGGATAGCTTATAAGACCATTTTGGTACCATCCCTGGAGTATCTTGGGGAGTCTAAACCAGCCCTTTCTGTGGGCACGTGAGCCATGCCAGTGCTGCTGCCCATGCCACCCCGATGCAGGATTTCATTGTTATTATGTTGGAAAAGTGGAATTGTAGTAGACAGAAAACACCAAATATTTGCTTGGTGTTCAAGAAGAAATGGAAGAAATACTTCCATTCACATAGAAGACTGTATTTTATCCTCATAAAACTGGCTGTGTTAAAAATCACTGTGTGATTTGAAGAATTTATAAATGCCAAATATCTGGCTGCCAAAATGTGGTTACTATTGTGGAGCTTTAGTGAAGCAGATATCCAGTTCCAAAATTTGTTTGAGATAACTTCAGTTAGTAGATATACCCTCTGTATTCAGGATACTACGAACGTACGAAAAATGTGTATGAACTTGAATGATTTGTGTTTAAATTTTTCTGTATATAACTTGTTAAATGTTCTAATATTTATAGACAGTCCTAGGGTCTCTGACCCCAACATTCCCCTAGTGGCCCGCAAGATCATGCAGCGGATGATCCGGCAATTTGCTGCAGAATATACCTCAAAAACTAGCTCTACTCAGGATTCCAGCTCGCCCAATAGCACAAAGAACCAAAGCCTGCTGAAAGCATCTCCGGTTGCCTCATCCTCTGCGGGTGCAACAGCTCAGAACCCTGTGCTCAGCAAACTTCTCATGGCTGACCAGGACTCACCCTTGGACCTCACTGTCAGAAAGTCTCAATTGGATCCTAGCGAACAAGGTATGCATGCCACGCTTGTGTTCGGAATCTTTTAGATCCGTTTGAAATACCCTACCAGCTAATAACAGAGAGCATAGAAGTATGGTAGGGTGTGAATAGTCAGACATAAGGGGGGGAAAACTTTGGTAAAACTGAAGAGCTGTGTGCTTGTCTCATATTAAATACAGTACATGGCAGATTGACTCTGGAAGTGCTAAAAGGGAAATTTCTCTTTTGGGAAATTAGTTATGGAAAATTAATAGGCTTGATTACATACTGCTAGCCTCCATGGAGTGCATTTTGACTCCTGTCCTATTTGGGAGTGTTTTTGAAATGTGATATATAGTGGAATTCTTGTAATTCAGTGCTGAATGTTCATATTTTGCTGCTGCAGCCGACATATTAAATGTGATTTTGCTTACTTTAAATACAGTCTTTTAGTTTTGTGGTTATTCTTTTTTCTGTATTCAATCCTGTAAGATCTCTTGTAGAGGTGTACTCGTATAATGTATACTTACAATGGCATATTGTGTGTAAGAGACTTATGGAGAAGGGTTGTTATAAAAATGTATGGACTTGGGGTTATTTAGTAGCCAGCCACCATTTGTATGCATTCCTCTGTTTCCTCTTAGACAACTCAGACATGAGACATTGCCTTTCCCACAAATTCCAGGCTGTAGGGAAGCATATTTCATGTTATAACAGAATATTGGAAATAATGTACTGTAGTTCTGGAAGGAGTGTGAAGTTCCTTAATCTTGTAGTGGGCTTTAAAAAAAGGGAGACTTTTAATTGATTATATGTGATTCCAAAGCCGTGCATGACATAAGATACAAAATCTTTGTTTCATTTCACACTGTCAGTAGGAAATAGTTGCTGAAGTCTCAGCCAGGAGTGGAAAACTGTGGTCCTCCTGCAGTTGATGGACAGCAACACTCAGCATTGCTTGCCACTGGATAGGGCTAATAAGGACTGCAATCTATCAACATCAGGAAGCCCACAAGTGGTCCTTCTCTGGTCTGTGTTGTGGTTGTCATTGATAGTTATATTTATGAATTGGCCATGCGAGTTTTAAACTATTCTGTGTGAAAAGAAAAACTGAGTAGTTTATTAGAGCAATGCTGCTAGAGTAGTTGCACATTTTGTTTTCCCTTCTTGTAACTGAGCATTGACTAGAGTATATTTCATTTTAGAGTTATTCAAAACTCCTAATCTCTTTAAAGCAGTTATCTGCTGTAAGGGTGGGTTATTTATATGCCACCTTGACTCAGTTGATAAGAAGGACATAAAAGTCCACAAATGAAGCACTCTGGTGGATTGTGTACATGTTGGAATCTGTTGAGGTTTGGTTACCACTATTGTTTCATTGGAGGAGAGTGTGACAGTTTAGAAATGGGTGGCGAGATAGGATGCTAGGAACAAGCATAATACCCAGTCTAAATTATTATTTTATATGTATGGGAAAGACCAGTGGGGAAAAAGAGCTGAAACTTCTTGTGAGAAGGGCCAAGGCAGTCCTTGTTTCCTGAGCACTGGGGAATATCAAGTTTAGAATCATGAACTTGGCATAGTGAGAATTCTGACCTCTGTAAGGGTTAGCTCTGCCTGGGCCACCTTTGGGCTAAGAGAGATTTAATGCTCTCACTGATTTAGATATTTCAGATTGGTTCTAATTTGTTAGAAATTGAGTTTTCCATAATACTTTTTAAAAATTAAAGTACCATGCCCAATTGCTGAACCATTATTACAATTATTTATAAATTATAAGGAATGTTTACTCAGAATAAAATCCTTCTGTTTTTATTGGGACTTACTTTTAGGAAGTGTGCATTCTTCTTTGTGTTTTTTGTGATCCACAGTAATGGGTTATTCTGTGCCTGCTCAGATGTCCTCAGAATCTTCCAGAGCCTAGAAAGCTGTTTGCCCCACTCTCACATGTCACACACATTTCTCCACCCAACAGTTAGCTCGAAGTTCCATTTTGATGCCACTGAATTTGCAGCAGTCATCGAGAGTCTGATGTGTTTTAACTTATGTAAATAATTTTTCAGTCTTATCTCAGTTAGCCCTGCTTTCGCCTTAAAACTATTTTTTTCATCACCCATGTATAAGACACCCCCAGTTTTCTAAACCAAAATTCAGAAATCATTATTTTAAACATTAGAAAGGAACACATTTTTATTTGGTAATTAGGCAACACTTACATGCCAGTACTATGGTGTGGTGGTGCTGTGGGTTAAACCACAGAAGCCTCTGTGCTGCGAAGTCAGAAGACCAGCAGTCGTAAAATTGAATTCACACAATGGAGTGAACTCCCGTCGCTTGTCCCAGCTCCTGCCAACCTAGCAGTTGGAAAGCATGTAAAAATGCACCACAGTGGGAAGGTAACGGCGTTCCGTGTCTAGTTGTGCTGGCCACATGATCATGGAAACTGTCTGTGGACAAAACACTGACTCTGCGGCTTGGAAACAGGGATGAGCACCGTGCTCTAGAGTCAAACATGACTGGTCTAAATGTCAAGGGGAACCTTTACCTTTTACTGTGATGTTATGCATCACCCTACCGGTCACTGTTACACTGTCTACACCAGTGATGGCTGAGTCTGAGTGCCCAAACTGAAAAAAACAAACAAAAAACCTGGCGGGTGGAAGCAGAGGGGAAGATTCGAGGCATGGAGCTGCCTGCAGACCCCACTCCAGATTCGCCTCCAGTCGAGCCCAGCCACGCCACTGTCTATAGCTTAGGAACACGGCTGGCCTGCCACCAGTCAGGGCACTAGTACCATGGCTGCAGCCGCCTCCTCGGGTTCGGCTGCCGGGAGTAGCGATCTGGCAACTTATGGCTCATGTGCCCATAGAGAAGGCTTTCCATGTCAGCTGTGGCATGCGTGCCATAAGTTTGCCATCACTGGCCTACGCTCTTTGGCATCATCTTATATTTGTATAAGGCTTGTGATTGTCTCTGCAAACAGAGACAAGCTATTGGCAGCTTAACTCGTGGCTGGAGGCAGACGGTTTGCAGACACATAGGGTAGGCAGTTTTGCAACCACACGGTTTTCTCCTCAGCTTGCTTCTATGTGAAAGACAACCCTCAATTTTAACTCTTAACAATTTTAGGAAAAAGTATTGTCTTTTACATGGAAAAATGCGGTAAATTTTTTAAAATAAAGAACTCTAGTTTCCTGTTTCCTTTTTTTCTTGCCATTTATGATTCAAAATGCGATACTTGTAAAAAATAAAATCCCTTTCACAGATGGACACTCTAAGTGTATCTACTGCTTAGGAGAGGAACATCAAATACAGTCTTGCTAAATCTGTAAAAAGTTCACAAAGGTCACCACTAGAAACAGGCAATCAAGACTTAAGTTGTATCTGTAGGAAATATCACTCTAAGCACTTGACATGATCTCAAAAGAAATAATCAGTTATGATCTGCAAGACTCCTAAGTTGGTACTCGTGGAGTCTAGCCAGATCAGTTTGACTGTAAGTACCCAGGATAGATTGCTTCTACAGCAGACACCACTGAAATAAATGACTTCAATGTTGTACACTTCAAAACTCACATCTTTGGTATTGAAGAAAAGGAAGAGACCTGTTTCAGACAAACTGCAATTGAAAAAGGCAAAAATTACAACTAAACAAGGGAAACAATTGTCATATGTGGTGGTACATCCATCAGCTCTACAGTCTTCAGCTTCACAAATTAAGGAATAAAATGAATTAGCCTGATGGGGTCATTATTGGAGGAAGACAAGGCTCTACATCTTTCCCCCAGTGTCACCCCACCTTTTACTCACTATGGAGTCATTTAATTTCAGAAAGTGAGCCTGCATTCCAGCAGACCTGAAGGGTAACAGAAAACAGAGTGGGAGACACCAATATTAGAAACAGGTCACCAGCATCATTGTTGGAGTTGTAAGTACCTAAGCCATTGGCATGGAGAAATCTCCAAAATAATAGGCCTCCTCATTGTCTGTATGGGCAGATGCCAATGGGGAAAACTTCTGTCCACCCTCTTTCTTTTTCAGAGCTCCACCACAGTTTTATGTGAGTGCAGAATGACTATTTACATTGCCCTACCTTGGTTTCCAGAGTGCAGAAGGAATGAGATATACCACCTACCATGGGCCAAAGCCATGTTTCCCAATTTCAGAACACCAACAGACTTGGCATGGAAAACAGAGGATGTTTGTTTTAAAATGTCTGGAGTGTTCTCATTATACACTTGGAAATGTACTCGCACAGCATCAAGATCCTCAACATCAGATTCAGATTCTGAGCAGCCTTCCAGTTAAGGCAAGGTTGAAAGCTTCAACCCCAAATGCACCTTGACACTGATGTTAAAAATCGAGGGAGCCCAACACAAACAATGCTTGGGCCTGTAGTGAACAATGCTCAGCACCTAAACCCTCTCAAATAGCACATCAGAAATGAAAACGGCTAAAAGGACACATAAAGAGCACTCATCTGCTGATTCCAGCTTCAGCTCTTTGATCCTGAATGGATCAAGATCATGAGAATCAGATATATCTTCCCAAGATTTCCATCAATCACCGTTGAAACTGACATCACATTGTGGATGTTGACCTATAGAAGTGAATAAAAATTTGAAGGAAAAAGAAAAAGAGAGAGAGAAAAAAACTAAAGTAGAATAAGTTCAATTACCTGTGCTGCATCCTTTAATCTGGAAGCCAGTATTCAATCTAAAATTAAGACCAAACTTGTGAAAGAAAAAAGAAAGAAGAGACCATTGAGTAGAAACAAAACAAAACTCCTCAGATATTGAAGATGGTAACATCTCTTCCCCAGAATCTCCATCACTTTCAGCATCTTCCCAGGACTTAGATGTTGGTGATACTGACCCTCCGTCACCATCAAAGAGCATCAGATCCTTTTCAGACGTGATCTTCAGAATTGTACTGCAGCCAAAACTATGCTCACAACCTGGGGTTCAATCCCAGGTAGCCGGCTCAAGGTTGACTCAGCCTTCTATCCTTCCAATGTCGGTAAAATGAGTACC